AATGTTAATTAGTCCGATTTCAGTTCTAAAACAATTTTTAATAATTCCTTGGCTGCAGTCCTATAACTTCCGATTATGTAATATAGAATGTTAACTAAATAAAATCTATGATTTATGTTTGCTCAGTATTTTTTATGCACTGTGTACATAAAGTATGGAATAAATTCGATAAAAATTCGGGGAATATTCTTCCAGATAAATGCTTGGTCATCTATGTAATCCTTTTCAAGGCCATTGATTGAGATAACATTGAAATGTACAGGTGTCCCAAAATTGAGATATGACCCCCAAGTTAACATTTTTAATATCTACTAATAATAAAATTATCTGGTTAATTAAATTTTAAGACTGAAAACTACTTGTGCCTGGCAGTATCCCAAACAATTGATAAATTCATGCGGAATCATAATGATTGTATCTTTACTAAGTCGTCAAACGATTTAAAATTAGTTTTAAGATAACCCCATAAAAAATAATCCAAAAGATTGAGATCAGGGTATCTTAGTGGTCATTCAATTGATCCATGCCTTCCAATCCACCTATTAGGAAATACTACTTTATCGAGATATTGCGTAACCTGAACTGGATGATGTGGTGGTGCACCATCTTGCATGAACCATGAATTTTCGTCATGTAACATCGGGTCATTACCACTGGGAAATGAATTTCTTAAATTGGGGACCGAAATATCGTAATTTATTGTTAATAATTTCTGTCCAAACATAATTTTTTCAGGATATGTTGTTTTCTTATCCAGCTGGGATTGTCTTTTGCTCAATACCGATAATTTTGTCGACATAGGGTGTGCTAAATAAAAAATACTCAAAAATTTACGTAGAATCCATAAATGCAACAAAATCAGGAGAGTTCCTATTTAAAAATGTCAACTTAGGCATAATATCTCAATTTTACGATTTTTTAAATTCCCTTACAATACAGGGTGTAAAAGAGACAGTTTCATACTGTATCGATTTGCCAAATATCGAATCTGTAGTAGTTATAGTTTAAAAGAAAAAACGTAGAGTCCCAAAAAATTTGAACATCCTGTATTTCGAAAACGGTTGATTTGCGGACACTTGTCAATTTATTTGCGACTGTAGTACTACCTATAAATATTTAAACATTGTTTTAAAATACCTGTATATTTCCTTAAAAAGTTTAATAATTAAATCTGTAGAGGTGAGTTAAAAAATCATAAGATATCTGTTTATAAAAAATAAGGAAATGTTTACGGCACTATTCAATTAAAACCTCAAAATAGTGAACCATTTTAATCTAATAGTGCAGCTCAACAACAACAAAAAAGTAAGACACTGCGAAATTTCGAGATTATCATGAGAGCTTTTCTATTTTTCTTAAACAGGCACATTAATTCTGAATCAAATTTGCTTTAAAATGTTCGTTATTTCATAACAATATCTCAATTCGTTCTTACGATACGATTTTTTAAATTTATTTTCTAAAAATTTTTAAATAATCGAATTTGCAGAGGTGGGAGAGCTTATCCTGTAGGAACTTAATTAGGTGGAGTAAAATCTTATAGTTATTTGACAGCTCAAATGCAGTACTTGTAACTTTCAGGTATACAGGGTGTTAAATAAAGAATGTAAAATATTTAAAGAGGTAATAGTATAGACCAAAATATACAAAAAAGTCTTAAGAAATCTCGCAAATGAACAGTTTCAGCATGAGAAACTGAGAACATTTAAATCAAACTTTTCCACGTAGATAGACAGGAAGAGGTGATACTGTACTACGGCCTGCAAGATTGCCTTATTTGCACCTTCTAGATTTCTTTTTCTGGGGATATTTGAAAACATTAGTTTATGGTACTACTGTGAATACCTTCGAGGAGTTGCCGCTACGAATTAATCAACAGTGCCAATGAGGAGATTTTAGAAAGAGTTCGTGCCTGTTTGGATAAGGAAGGAGGACATTTTGAACATCTTATTTAACTTAATTTTTTGTTTTTGTTACAAACTTCTTTTATTTGTTTGTACATATGAATAATTTTTTTTCAAAAAAGTTTTTATTTAACATTTTATTTGCGGACCCACGTTTTCAGACACTTTTTCATACTATTACTTCTTTAAATATATTACATTCTTTTTTTAACACCCTGTATACTGTAAATTTTAAACATGTCAAACATGTATGTAAATAGAACTAATAGTTTTATAAAGTTGGTACTAAAATATGACACTCGTGACGTTTAAAACATTCCATTGTGATGAATATCTCAAAATTTCTGTAAAAATTAACAACGATGCTGTTCTTGAAATGGTGCCTTCCTAACCCAGATAAATTTAAGAAAGACATCAGCGACACCGCACTTCCCGGAAGGATTCTCAGTTACTCGCTTAAAATCACTAACAGGTCACGTACGATGTATTTCTTTCGTGAAATCTTGGGAATGAAAATTCTTAGACATAACGAATACTCAGAAGATAGTAATAGAAACGAAGGAGTAGGTGGAGGTTACGGTGAAGCTCGTTGGAGTAAAACGATGGTCGGATATGGTCCTGAAGATAAATTTTTTGCCTTAGAATTGATTTATAATTATCCAATACAGTATTACGATAAAGGAAATGCTTTAATTTGTATTACAATAAAAAGTAGTAATTGTTTGAAAAGAGCAAAAAAGAATGGATGGCCAATTATTGAGAGTAACAGATTAGAAGCTCCAGATGGATTTAAGTTTCAAATTTTAGACGAACCTCAACCAACTAAAACAGATCCTATTATAAACATTGTTTTGGCAGTATCTAAAATAAAACATTCACTTAAGTATTGGCACGATATGCTAGGGATGGACTTAATCGAAACAAATATTGTTGGATATAATCAATGCGAAACGGTGGTTGTATTAAAACAAATTAAACATCCTATTGAACATGGTGATTCTGGAGGAAGATTGTCTATATCTCTACCGGATAAAGATCAAGAATTTTTAGAGTATAAACTTGAAAAATTTGGATATAAGGTTGTTGTTCCTGTTGTCACATATGAAAATGATCTTTTATTGTTGTTGTTGCAAGACCCGGATGGGCATGAACTTGGTTATTACAATAAGAAGGGTTATGGTAAAATTGCGATTTATTCCCCTAGCGATGAAAAAATCTTGGACAGAATGCTTGCCGTAGAAAAAGAAATCGAGGTAAAAGATGAACCAGCAAAAAGGATTGAATCCAGAAAAATTCTTGAATCAATGAGAAGAAAGCAAGTTTCAGATCAACTATTAAGACAATGCGAAAATGATTTAATGCGAAGTTATTGCAACAAGTTTAAAGAGTTCTATTCTAAAAAGGGATTTTTAATTAAAAATATTTCTAAAGATGTAATTCTGACTTCTGTGTCATCTGAAGATTCAATTATTAAAGAAAAAAAATCAAAAAGTGGAACTAATTTATTAGAAACTAACGAGAGAGAACAAAAACAAGAAGTCTCAGAAAAATCTATTGAAGAGAAATCAGAAGATGTTAATAAAACTGAAGATAAATCTGTACTTGTTATGTTGACATCCGCAACTGTAATTTATAAGCAAACCCCCAAAGATGAAAGTATGACCAATACTGACTCAAAAAATGCTTTAATCGATTTGGAGGATAAATATACAGAAACTCAGAATGAAGAATTTAATAGTCAATCAATCGACGAATCTAATCAATTATTTGATGACTTAACTTTTTGTAAAACAAAATTAAAAGAGTATAGATCGAAATCTCCAGATCCATCAAGAACAACTCCTACCTTTAATTATTCTCAAGTACATAGATCAAAATCAAGGGATTGTGCTGGTACTTGGATCGGAAATGATAATCTTCAATGTTCAAGATTTGATAAACAAAATGTAACATTTTCTAAAGATGTCAGAAAGTGTTCTAAACCTAATATTCAGTGCAGAACAAGGACGCCAAATAAAAATAACGGTGGAATTGATTCAGAAAAACTAAAAAGCCCCCATGAAACAAAGAAAAATATAAAATCTGAAAGAAAAGAAAAAAGTGCGAAGCATTATGAAAATTATTCCGGTTTTCAAAAACCGGTGCAACAAAAAAAATTAAACAATGAGTTCCACGCTAAAAAAGATGAAAAAAAGTACGTTAAAAACACAAAAGCTGGTGGTTATGCAAAGGAACAGTATCAAAACGCAAATCATAATAAAACAATTAAATTAAACGCAATAAATTTAGATAGTTATCAACCAAAAAGAGTCTCTTCAAAATATAGTAACACTTCCGAAGAATTTATATGTCTTACAGAAATGAATGTTGACTTAGAAGAAGATAAAATATTTGAAAACCTCAAAAACAGTTTTATGGATCTAGACAACAAGAAAAGTTTAGAACTCTCCGATTATGAAAAAGCAAGAATTTCAGATTTTAAAGTTAGCGATTTATTTATTTTCAATGACGACGCCAATTCTAAAGAACATAACAAAAATAATAAAGATGATAAATTCGAATATAATAACTTAGAAAATGAAAGAGAAACTGAAACGATTAATGATGGAGCAAGAATTAAACAAAGCAAAGAAATGATAACACGTAAAAGTATTGAATCAATTTTAAAAGAGGATAAAAAAGAAAATTTTTCGGCAAAACTAAAAGGTTGGGTAGAACAAAGTACATATAAAGATATTTTATTGGAGAGTCAATGTAAAATCGAGAAAAATCAATGTAGAAAAGTTAATAACGAAAATAAAATAATTGGTGATGTTTAAGAAATTATTATAAAATGTATTTAAAAGTGTATTCCAAAGTACATAACTAAAATCAAGACTAAATTGAACGTGAAACAAAACGAAAAGAAGAAAATATATAAAAAAAATTTTGTCAATGTCTAAAAAAAATTAAAACCCACAAATTCCAAAAGTAGATTCTTTAAGTTACTTAATTGACATTTATCTGTCAGCTAATTTTGTCAATTTCATTAACCATACATCAATTTGAAACACTCTACATCAAAATTAAAAGTATTCATGTAATCAATACAAAGTAATAAAAAAAAATGTTTAAAGGCGGTTTTTCAAGATTAGAAAAAGGATGTGGAATAGGAGAAGAACTCGATGGATCTATCGTTTCATACACTCTAAAAATTATCGAACGAAGCAAATCGATTTATTTCTTTAGAAATATCTTAGGAATGAGAGTGATATGCCACCGGGAATACGAACAAGGAAACAATTTAAGAAACGACTTAAACATAAACCACGACAGTTGTTGGAGTAGTACAATACTTTCTTATGGAAAAGAACATAACTATTTAAATTTGGAATTAATTTATATTTACAACAAAAAATCTTATTTAACGGGAAATATATTTAAAGGAATGACAATAAGATGTAGTAGATGTTTAAAACGTGCCAAGACCTTAGGATGGCCGGTTCTTCCGGGAAATATCCTACAATCACCGGGAGGTTACTTATTTTACATCCTCGACGAACCCCAACCGATTCGAACGGATCCTATTGTTAAAATTAGTCTTGCAGTAGCCGATTTGAAGGCTTCGAAAGCGTTTTATAACGGTTTAATTGGATTCCGATTTTGTGAGAATTATTATCAAGCTTCTAATCCAAACATAGCTATTCTTGGATTACAACAATTTGATGCAAAATTAGAACTAACACAAAACGAAGGTGCCATCAAAGGTGAAAACACCGGTATTTTAGGTGTTGGAGCTGAGTACAACGAACAAATAGCTCTCGAAGAAAGATTTATCAACAAAAAAAAGGAAAATATAATTATCCCATTAATTCCAATGGACACTCCCGATAAATCCACCATGGCAATTTTTAAAGTAAAAGATCCCGACGGGCATGAAATTATCTTTTACGAATTCACCCCCTATCAAAATGTCTTTCAATACTCACCCGAAGACGAAAGTCGCATGGTTAAACTATTCGAAGATGACGAAATTCCCGAGGACAATAAAAACTGGGATTCTAAGAAATCCTTTGGAAAAAAAACGTCTAAATCTCGATTAAGCAAAGAGGTTTCTTGTGAAGCGATTAAATTAAAAATAAAAGAAATCACCAGGTCTTTAGGATCGATGCGCCCACATAAATCGAAAGATTCACAGGAAAATTTAGAGGACGATGAACCAGAAGCAGGGGGAAGTTCAAAAGTGGAAAAATGTCCAACGACTGTTTTAAAAGGAATCTCGAGAAGTCTTGGTTCCATTAAAGATTTTGGGCGATTATTAAAAAGTCGATCAGATATGATTTGTTGTAAAGACTGTAAAGATAAACAAGAAAAACTCTCGATTAACAAAGATGAAGCAAATCACTTAGGTGATAAAACAATAAGTAGATCAGAACAAATTTACCAAGAAGATGAATCGAATGCCCAAGATTCAGTGGCTACTCAAGAGCCGGTCGCAATCGAAGTTCAAGCATCCGCTAAAAAAGAATTGAAAATGAATAGGGGTGTATCAAACGAAGCAAATAAATCGGCTCAATACACTGGATTAAGAATTAAAACAACATCCAGAGGGACAAATTCGGAACAAAGATTAGTTGACTCAACAACTGAAGATGACTTAAATCAAAAAAGTTTTAAATCTACTTTTACTTGCGCAAATAATCCGTTTAAGGAAGATGTTAAATGTGTGAACATTAAATGCGATGATACAAAAAACATTGTTAAGGATAGTATTAAAAATCTTTTACGAAAAACTTCTTCGTTGATTCGACGATCCAATAACGAGCAATGCAGAAAATCTGAAGACTTGATGGTTGATGGCCATTTATATTTTAATGCTAACTTCGATATTATTCCACCCTATAAAATTCCTAGTTTTGTAAAATCAGAAACTTCCAAAACAAGTGCAGCTGAACAATCAGAAAATCAAGAAGTGGAAAAAGAAAATTAATAATATGAATATTGGTAAGTTTTTTTGCAACATTTAAATCTGGTATATGACTAACAAAGTCAGATGGTGTTTTCTTAGAACTAAATCGATTTGTTGGCATAAGTTTTAATAATCATAAGAGTTTTGTTATACAGGGTGATTCTCAACCTATACGCTTAAACTTGGGGATTTACTCCTCAAGACAAATAATGACTAATAGGCGAAAAATGTGTAGTAAAAGATTTTCTGTTTCATAGATATCTGTGATATCTACTTAAGAATACATAGAACATTTTAAAATAACTTCACACCAAGTGTTTAAAGTTATATCCCATCTTTTCTATCAATTAGGCTGCGAATCCACGATCTCCCACTAGCGCAGCCTAAAGCAGGGTGTTGGCGGATTGTCTGGGCAGCAGCATGTATCTGATTTTGCAATATTTGCTCAGTATTAACTTCTGTGGCAAACACTATGCTTTTTAAATGACCCAAAAAGTATAAATCAAGAGGATTGAGGCCGGGCAATCGCTGTAGCCAGGCCATTGGACCATCTCGACTTATCCATCTTCCAGGAAACACATTATCTAGATGTCGCTGGTTATATCGGATAACTAGGAAACTAAAAAAGTTTTACTACAATTTTTTTTCATCTTTTAGTCATTATTTGTCAATCAGCCTGTATATGTATATGCGCATACAGAGAAAAAATTGCATCAATGCAAAAATTTTACATTGCGATATAGATGAATCAACATGTATATGTACTATAGGTGTATGTAAATGTGATAACTAAAAGACGAAATTAGCTATATTGTTCAAATTTTCCACATGTCTATTAAACTTGAGCAATATTGCAATATTGTGAATGTGAAAATGCATTCCAACAATATGTTTAATAGGTTTTCAAAAGCCAAGATAAATAGCAAGCGAATAGAATAGCAGAAAATATGAATATCTTCCTAAGTCATAGGAAGTTATAGGAAGCATCCTAAAGTATTACCTACAATTACTCAATTAGTGATGGTGAAAGTGTAACAATTTGCATGATGTGGAACGAATCTAAAAAGATAAGCAACGATGATAGGCTGTCTTTGGATATTAAACTAAAAGTCCCATTTATAAATTATTAAAAATAATTACTAATTGTAAATGGCCATACACCATTGGCTGTAGTGGAAATCACTCGTTAATTGAAATAGAAAGAAGGAAAACTTCGTTTCTCTTATAAATAATAACGCCCTGGGAATTCCACTAATGTCATAAACAGATGCATCATTCCGAACATGTACAAGAGTTAGCCCAACAAATTTGGTTAAAGTTTAATGAAAAATTTGATATTCTTCAATATTCATCGAAGGGTTATCATTCCCGCTTGCTATTCCATTTCTATATGATTCACGCCTTATTTCGTTTTTAGTCGTTGAAACAATTCATGAGTAATATCAAGTTCCATCGTTATACATAATGTTTTTTTAAATTTTATTGTAAACAATTTTTATTAATATCATTCTCGTTTCTCATATCAACCATTTTGTTGTTAAATGTTACATTTTGTTTATAACTATTTCACAATTACAGTTATACAAGAAATATGAAATAGTTGGAATTAAATCGTTTATGGATTATGTTTCTCTTATTTATTCTAAACAACTGTTAACATTAGTTTAATGCATAATACTCATTTTCTTTGCCTTTAGTATGAGGTCAAGGTCACATGGGAGTATGATACAATCCCATACCCATCCCCAGCGGTACTGTTACCGCTTTACATCAGCCATAGTAAGCCGTAGGGGCAAACAATTACTGTAAGCTGTAGTATTCCTGATATCATAAGCGACAATTAACAACAATTTCACATGGGAAGCTGATTTTTGCTTTCTTGGCGATCAGAGATGATTATTCACGAAAAAAATAGTTACTGTTCTGTAATTTAACTTCCGTCAGGGAACCTACTTCACTACAACATTCCGCAAGTACTGATTGTTTTTCGAAATCCGAAGCAAAGCGAGTCCATAACTTAAATAACGTCGATCGTTTGTCTCTCTCCTGCGTTATCAACTGGAAGAGCTCTATTATGAAACTTTACGATATGGAAGGTTATTCTGCTCAACAGCATCCGCCCATCCGCTATGATACCTTTGGGTATTTTCCCCATGAAAGCAGTCTTATTCAGCGGTAACCAAAGAGCTGATCAAAGCATATCGTTCATGTAGAAAGACATAACATTCTCCAACCCTATTAGAATGGGATCACTTCAACTTGTCTAGTTTTTTAGAAAACCACTCTATACCACACAGGTTCGACCGCTTCGACTCAAGATCAATATATTCTACAAATTAGTATGATGCAATGTCCTTTAACACAGTTTCTTTGAGACTTTATTTTGCAGATGCATATAATAATACGGATTTTCCAGTTTATTAAGGGATGGGATACTTTACCCTTAAAATTTTTTGAAACTTGACAAAATTACCAAACTTAAGAATTTTCGTTTTAGGCTATATGAAATTGGGACATTCGGATTTTGACATTTCTTGCTCATGAACGAATTTGTACCATGCTTTGTCATTCAGAATTTTTTAGTTTCTTATAGGGTTCATCCTCTCTTGCTATGGTTGGTAAAAACGACTAATTCTATGAACAAGTAAATAATGACATAATAAGAGTGGTGAGATCATAAGAAATCGAAATAATTGGAGATATCAATGCAACACAGGTAAAAAAAACAGGATAAAGTGGTAGACCAGAACGAAGAGGAAACATAAAAAAATCCATTATAGAGTACACAATAACGAGATAAAAACAAATCTAAATGTACAGGATGTGAAAGTGTATAGAGAAGCGACATACGGTAGCCACAACCACCTGATAAGAGCAAATATAGTGAACCAAACAAATATAGTTTAACTGATGAAAGCATTCAAATGCTACACAAAACTAGAAAACATGCAATATAAAAACAACGAAGAACCGACAAATTAGGGAACCATATTGCTGGAACGAAGAAATAAACGATGCAATAACAGACAAGAGAGAAAAATACAGCAATAACACTCGGAAAATGGGACGACTACTTTAAGCAGTTACTAACAGAAGATATACCGAACTTCTTTAAGAACCAGAGAAGTAAGTCTATACCTAACGGCACCCCAATCGGAATAACCATAAAGAATGCATGTAAATCCAAACGAGGAAAGCGAAAGCAACGACCCGACCCTCGGTAACATCCCAGCAGTGCTTGCAAAATGTGTAACAACAAAACATTACAAAACTTGAGGCACTATTTTAAAACTGTCTTAACGGTAAACCAATTCCAGAATAATTGAATACAGGTGTTATATCTACCATACACAAAAAGGAGATGGGCACGTTATATAGAGTATATGACAAGATCCCGCCTAACAAAATAGACCTAGAACACTAAGATATGGAAGCAGATGAGCAGACAGGATTTTGCGCAGGAAGATCAACAAGAGACAATTCTTAATCTCCTAGTTAGTAAAAAAACGTATGACAGCATCCCATAAATCAAGTTATAAGAAGCAATCAAAAAGAACAAGCAACAGCTAATATCAAAATTGAAAGTTCAGAGTGGTATACAGGAAATGGGGCCTACTCATGGGAAGAACATCAGTAGAACGTTCACCTGAATGTTGGGATGTGCATAAAATATACCATGAAGTACAAATATTTGGGAGCACAAATAATCGTGCTTTTTACGTGTCTTTTTTGTAGTCCACAGCCGGGTTGGGGTCCAATAACGTTAGCCAAGTTGCCCACCTTTTTATTGCCCTCAATATATTTGTGATCTGCAACCCGCCATAGAGTAACTTTATGACCTCTGGCGAATTTTCTTAGGTTATCGGTACCTGAATTACATTTCCGACTATCCGTAAAGATGTTTATTGATGTCCCTTTTTGTCCCTTTTCAATGTTCAAAACGGTGCAGAAGGTTATAACAAGAACCTCAGCTTGAAAAATGGTTATATTTGAGCCTAAGGGCATCTTAATGCGGCTATTTGGTCCGCTTATAGCTACTTCGAATTCACTGTCTGTGACTCCTCTTTTGAGTTGAGGCTCACCCTTTCTTATATGGCTGGTCGAAATTATATTCTGTCGGTATATGATCCATTTTAATTTGAATGAAGTGGTTTAGACATGGGTCCCCGAGGATTTTGACGTGTTCTCTAAGGTTACCCTGCATCAGCTTGAGTGAAGAATATGTCTTCATTGATAAGGCACTCAAAGCTAACAGAGTTATATACGGTATTATATACAAATTCCTTATATACTTTATATATGCCAGAATCTAAAAAAATATATATTTTAAGCAGTAATTTTTGAAATATAATTTTTTTGCTCAATGAAAATGAGTATAAGATTTCTTTTCAACATTTGTCGGTGGTTAGAAGAGGGTTAATAAATGTAGTTTTGAAGAGTTGTGACATCAAAAATACCTAAAATGATTACATTCTTGACGTCAACGTTTTGATAGTTTACGACATTCTATCAAAATTGATTTGTATTAAAATTTATCCATCAACACACTATTTCAACAATTATGATTATTTACAAGTAAAATAAACTAAAAATTTAACTAATAAAAAATGTATTCGGAAAGATTACTGAATTATTCATTAAAAATCATCCATAGAACTGAAACCATTCATTTCTTTAAGAACATCCTCGGCATGAAAGTACTAAGACACACGGAATCTTCGGAAGATGTAGATTTGTGTGAAGACCGTTGGAGTAAAACTATGGTTGGATATGGACCCGAAAATAAATTCTTTGCCTTAGAATTAAATTTCGATTATAAAACTGAGAATTATTCAAAAGGAAATGCATTTATTGGAATAACAATTAGAGACGTTGAATGTTTGCAAAGAGCTAGAATTGAGAAATATCCCATCGTTGATGGAAACGTTTTGTTCTCACCGGGAGGATACAAATTTATCATAATTAACGAAACGCCATTACCAAATGTCGATCCTATTGTTAAAATATCTTTTGGAATTAATAACATGAAAAAAGCTATAGACTTTTGGGTTAAATTGTTAGGTTTAACGGTTTTTAAGGATAATCCAGATAATTTATTGGTAGGATTTAATGGAACAGAAACTAAGTTGGAATTAAGACAAATTCATAGTTATATTATAAAAGGAGAGAATACAGGAAGATTAGCTTTAGGGATGTCTTACGATCGATTAAAAGATTTGGAAGCAAAAGCTCATAAATCTAACAGAAAAATTCTTATTCCCTTAACTTCGATTGAAACACCTGGAAGAGCTAAAGTGAACATCTTAGCTTTAGCAGATTCAGATGGGCATGAAAATTACTTTTTAGAAAAGAATGAATTTTTAAGCATTTCTAAATATTCGCCGAATGATGAAAAATTATTAAATAAAATGATGGGCGTCGAGAAACAAATTTGTTTGATGTTAGCTAGAGATGTAAGAGATTCTCCATCAAAAGCTTCTTATAAATCGACTGAATCGTTACGAATTCGTGCTGTAAACTTATTAAAAAACAAAGCTCATTCTCTAATTCAAGACATTCGAGAAAGGAAACAATCCAAAATAGTTCCAAGAAAAAACACTGAAATTGGTACTACAAGTGAAAAAGAAAATCTATTGGGGTTAACTAATTTAGATGTAGATTCAGAAAGTGATGGTGTTATAAAAAAGGGTTACTACAAACAAAATAAAAATATAAAGACTCCATCTGATTCTGGAAATTCATTTGAAGAATATGATGAAGATTCGCCAGACATACAATCTTCAAAAAGCGATTCGATAACTAATATAATTAAAGAAGGATTTAAAAATATGAAAGAACATTCTGAGTTAACAAAAAATAATTTAAGTCCTCGACAATCAGCATCATCTAAAACCTCAGCTAACATAGTAAAAAAATCCGAAGAAAATGATGCGAATAAGAATAAAAATACCAAAACATCTAAACCTCCCTTAAAAGCTGAAAACATTCAACAACGATCAAAAAATTCAAAAAATGAACCGACCTCATCACATATGCAAGCTGCGATTAATCCGGATGATTTAAAGAAACATAATCTTGGTAAAAAAAGGAAAGAAGCTGGTAAAGACACTGAAGGTCGCGATATGAGGTCAGATAACGCTGAAAAGGTTCAAGAAACAAAGAAGGAAGAAAACAAAACTTTGTCGAAGTTCGATGACACGGTGAGAGGACTTAAAAGCGTCACTCTTTGTGTCGATGATTCATTTAGTGGGATGGAGCTAGGAAAAATTAATGTCCAGAAAGAAATCAAAAAAGAAAATGTGCACAACAAGAAGAAATTGAATGAATCGATAAAAAATAAGAAAGATTTATCTACAAAAGATTCAAATTATTCATCCTCTAGTAATAACACGGATATTGAAAAAGAAAATGACCCTAAAAAAGAAAAAATAAGGCTTATTAAAAAAATACTTAAAGAACAGAATTCTGAAGAGACTTTAAATACGTTAATTTCTGAAAAATCGTCCGAATACAATTCTTTAGACAGTTTCAGTTCACTTCAACAGCCTCGCTTTAAAAAGTGTACTTCGAATAATTCGAAATTGGATTTTAAAACACCTAGTGATCAATCTATAGCTTCTGCAAGAAAAAGAAATGTTGATAAAAAACAAGAACCACTAAAGGAAAAAATAAAGATTGTTCCAAAAAAAGTTAAACCAGAAAATCAACAAAAAGATCTTGAAAGAAAAAAATTAGAATTAAAAAAACCACTTAATCCAAAAGGTGTTAAGGCAAATAAAGATCCACAAAAAAATAAACAACTTCTCCAAAATGCATCGAATTCGTTTCGTAAAAAAAGAATTGCTGATGAACTTGTTGAAATGGAATCAAAGCGAAGAGATGAAGTCTTTAAAAGTATTGAGGATATTAGAAGTAGCTCTTCAACTATAACCATTAAAATAAAAAAGAATAAATAAGAAAACTTTGATGGAAGTAGATGTTGAGATATCTAAATGTAATAATACAAAACGTTTTAGCTACTGTTCAAGTTAAACCAAGAGACTTTTATTATAAAAATTAAGTATTACGACCAGCTTTTGGAATTGAGGATGTAAAAGTGTTAAAACTATCACAGAAATAAATCGAAACAATTTCGTAAAATTTTGGCGAAGAAGTTGGGTTGTTTAAAATTGGGATTTAAAATAAAACTACAAATTTCTAATTTGACAAAAATAACGTCAATAATGTCAACCTCAACAATTCCTTTTGGTTAAAATATCGAATAAAATGTATAATGAAAATTAACTGTTACTTATTACTGTACGAATTATTAAAGACTAAATGGCTCCCAAAAGAAAATTTAAGCTCAAGTATTACAAACATCCAAAATTCAAATAGTTTGATCGATCAAACAATGTGTAATGGCAATTTTAAAATTCACGGAAGAAATTTGCACTATTCCTTAAAGATCGGAGATCGAAAGCGAACAATTAAATTTTATAGAGACATCCTGGGGATGAAAATTTTAAGACACGACGAGTCTATTTATGATAATTCAAGTGGAGAATTAAGTCACGAAGAAAGATGGAGCAAAACGATGGTCGGTTATGGGGCTGAAGATGATTATTTCGCTTTCGAATTGATTTATAATTACCCGATTCATAATTATTTAAAAGGAAATGATGTTATTTCGGTTACCATTAAAAGTAAAGAAGCGATTAAAAGGGCTAAATCGCATCATTGGCCCATTTTAGACGGAAACGTTCTCGAAGCACCAGGAGGTTACCGATTTCACATTTTAGATGAACGGCAACCGAACAAATACGATCCAATTGTTAAAATCACTTTAGCTTGTACCGATTATAAGAGAACCCTTTATTATTGGCATACAATTTTAGGCCTGATTCTTTACGAACGAGATAATAAAAAGAAATCTGTTACCGTTGGATTTAAAAGTAATGAAGTAAAAATTGAATTTCAAGAGATCGATCAAAAGATACAACGCGGTGATGTAGCAGGAAGAATTTGTTTTTCTTGTCCGTATTATCAACAACCGGAAATTGAAGAGAGAATCCGCGACAAACATTACAAAATTCTCGTTCCTTTAGTTCCCTTAGTAAATCCTGGAAAATGTTACGTTAGAGTTTTAATTCTTGCCGATCCAGATAAACACGAAGTTTGTTTTGTTGATGATTTAGCTTTTAGACAATTATCCCAATATGCACCCGAAGACGAAATCATCCTCGATAAATGTCTCGAAATAGAAAACGAAAAATATAATAAAATCGGTTTGTTTTAATTTACCAATCTTCTAAGTTTATTAATTATTTTAAATGTTTGTTATTAGGTGAACCAGCCAAATTAGCAGAAAATAAACAAATACGAGATTCGTTTAGAAAAACACAAATATCCCAACAAAACTATTTGAAGAAAAATGTCTCAATTCTTTTACCGGTAACAAATGTTATGTCAAGAAGCAGTTATAACTCGAACGAATCTAACAGTTCGTCAAAAACTAAAGAAACCAATTACACGAGGAGCACTATACCACAAAAGCTAACGGTGAAAGTGACCAAAACGAAGAAGATATCTCAACCGCTTTTACCATCATCGACAAAGACCAGGGAACCCAATGTACAAAAAGAAGAAATCAAATTATCCGACACAAGTCAACCGATTACAACTTCAAATTCGAATGTTGTTCAATCTAATTCCACTTCAACCTCCTCTAATTCGACTACAAATTCAAGATCGGAATTAAACACTCATGAAAATATTGAAAATTTCATAAAAACTATGATGTTGAATAAATTGGAAGAAGAAATTTCTTCAAAAGTCGCAGGAAAATTAGATGCGGCGATTAATAAAGTTATCGCGGAGAAAATTAATGAAACTGTTAATAAAGTTGTCGAAGAAAAGATCCTCGAAAGTGTAACTAAGGCGGTAGCGCAAATGGAAGATTCGATGAAGCTGACCGTACCGAGATTGCTTCCAGTTATTCAAGAGGAGGCTGAAATTGTTCATAGTTTTCCTTGTTTGTTGTATCACAAAGAGCCGACGAGGATACCAAGGAAGTGTGGAAAACGTTATAGAAGAGGAAGAATTGTGGGTTCTTAAAAAATAGGAAAATTTGTTTTTGTTATAATAGAAACTTGATTTTGAAATAAATACAATGTCTTGAACATGAAATTCATTTTATTTATTTTTTAAAATAAAAGATAATCTTTAAATCTAATAATATTAACTGTGTACAAAACGTGCCTCTTGAAATAGTTAGGTGAATAACTTAAAACTTAGGAGTTTGTTTTAGGCTCGTTACTACCATGTTCTGGTTAAGCTATCTAAGGGATTATTACCACGGTTACGGCTATTTTATGCGCTCTGATTGGTTAGTAGATGGGTTTATCTATAAGATAAATTTATTTTATTATAAATTTATAGATAGATTTATAAGATAAATGGACCTAAGGTCCATTACTACCATCTTTTAGATAAATTTATCTTATAGATAAACCCATCTACTAGCCAATCAGAGCGCGTAAAATAGCAATAACCTTGGTAATAATCCCTTAGATAGTTGAACCAGAAGATGGTAATAACGAGCCTTAGGTCCATTACTACCATCTTTTAGTTAAATTTATCTTATAGATAAACCCATCTACTAGCCAATCAGAGCGCGTAAAATAGCCGTTACCGTGGTAATAATCCCTTAGATAGCTTAACCAGAAGATGGTAGTAACGCGCCTTAGGTCCATTACTACCATCTTTTAGTTAAATTTATCTTATGGACAAATCCATCTACTAGCCAATCAGAGCGCGTAAAATAGCCGTAACAGTGGTAATAATCCCTTAGATAGCTTAACCAAAAGATAGTAGTAACGAGCCTTAATAGGTTAAATAAACTGCTTTCTCAGTATTATAAAAACTAAATAAATATAATTAATCCTTGTGTTACATAGGTTAGGTAATAAATAGGAACTGAAGTAAATATAAGAAATAATATAAGATGTTTAGAATTTTTTGCCAACAATATTCAGATAAATGAAAAATGATATAAGTTAAAATACCTGAAAGAATCAGAGAGCAACCATGTAGCTCATATATGGGAGAAATGTGAGAGCCAATTTTAACGAAAAATAAAGTAGTGGGCAGAAAATGGAGGAAAAAAGACATCTGCACAACACTACCTTCAGACTATTTGCCTGTAAGACAATGTGCGAAGGAAATCCATGAAGATCGTCTACTACTTAAAGTGTGATAGCAGAATGGTCCACTTATTGTCAAGTTTCCATAGATATATTTTTTATATCTTAAAAGATAGCTTCTGTATTCTAACATTCATATCAACAACATTCTAAATTGCTATCATTAAATAATTTAGTGGTTGATCGCTAATATACAGGTAGGTAAGTCGGAAAGCAATCTTTGAACCGATAAAGTAGGCGTCATAATAAGACGATTCAATATAACGTGTCTTACACACAAAATGTTCTGAAGCAGGATTGAAGCACAATTTTCGAACGGCTATAAAGGCATAATAAAAGAATGTAATTTTCTTAACCAAAAAGGCAATATGTTAAAAGTGTGTATAGAATGAATGTATGTATAGAATGTGTATAAGAAAATTAAATGAAGAGATTTGATTTGATGCAGTTGATTAGATGGGATTCTGCTGATTGACTTTGATTGAGCTTAGTACATGGGTAGACGATTAACGAAATTGTAACATTGACTGTGTTTTTGTTTTGCTTTTACAAATACTTATATAATTAATCGGAAAATGAATAGCGGAACCATAACATTGTAATAGACCATGTAATAGACATATTCAAAAAAAAAATTAAGTATAGCTATAGCGCATCAAATGATGTAAAACTTAGAAACAGAGGATTTCTCATTTTTACAGGAGGGTGGAGTATCACATTCTAAGTGCCAGTTTATGCTTTTACCTGTACTTCAGTACCACAAAAGTACTGTTTCTTCTAGTACCATGATGTAAAACTATTTAAAATGAATAAAAACACTGAACTATGATTTTACCCCTCAATAAAATGTTTTTTTTTGAATTTGATGGAACTTTTATGACCCCATCCCCAACCCACTTACAGAGGTGACAAAAAATACAAACACATATAATTTACAATGAATTATAAACTTCTATGCACAAATTATCGTACTTTTCATTTTTTTCAATGCTTGGAACGCCAAGGGTTAATGAATACCTTGCTACATCATTAATCATTAATTATACCGTTGGGAATAATGTAAAACTTATGATTAAATTCAGAAATAAAGCATTATAAAGGTGATCCTGAATATGGTGAACAGGACAGCATCTTACGTAATCTTACTATTGATGCTGCGAGATATGGGCAGCGAGCTTATTCCAAACAAAATGTAACTCGTTAGAACACCTGATGGTAATCTCTCATACGACACCGTTAGGCACAGAAAGCTATATTTCTATTATGTCGGATTCAACAATAATGTTGTTAAATTAATTAAGTCTCTCTCTTTAAGTACCATGTGTACGCAGATGATACATTTATCTATTGCCCATTTTATTTGCAAGAGGCTGAAGGTGTTTTAAGCCTATGAACAATCACCTTGGTCGCTTGGCTTTGCTGTCTGAACTGCATTCATTTCACTTACGGCCTTTGACAAAGAATGTCAAGTTAATATCATATGTAGAGAATAAAGAATGTTTAAAATGTTCGATGCCCCAGAGGTTTTACTTAAAAATTTATAACCTCAACTTGTTTGGCAAAATGATATAAAGGACATCTTACTTATCCAATTCTAAGTGTCGACACGACCATAATAGCGGTTAATTTTATATTATATCAGCAAGATACTTTTTCCTAATATAAGAATTGTTTATCTTTTTTTGTAAAGCAACTTTTAGTATCAATTGGGTAAGAAATATGGCTTACATCTTAATATTTTGAATTACTTTGTAAACACACTATTTGGACAAATAGCAACAAAACCATAATATCAATAGCAATAAGAATATTTTAATGGTTTTAAACATGAGCTCCAGTATTCGCCAAACATAAACTTAAACGCTTTTTCTGTCATTATTGACTGTGATTTTTTCTGTCATTATGGCACATTGTGATGTTCAGCAATGAATCCCGAATTCTATTGGAAATTTAGTCGAAGACGTGGAAACACCGAAATGTTGAATTTTCTGTTGCGATGTATGTGCACTAAGAAACTATGAAAAATATGATATAGAGTGTTGTAACTTATAGGAGTAGGTCCGGTTTGGTATTTTGTGAGGCAATATAACCACCTAGCGATTTTTGGATGAGATGGTTGAGAACTCATATTCTTTTATTTCGTCAGAAGTTGGAAGCTTCACTTTTCCAACAAGATAATGCTAATCCTCATTTTCTAAGATGTTCAATTTCAGATGTTCTAACCGATTTATAGAGGGTAACATCAATCTCTTATCATGCTCACCTCGATCTTTTCGTCCAGTATTTTTAGGACAGTATTGAGAAGCTCTACAACACGAATTACTTGGAATACAATATCTCAAGAAGAACCCAAGAAGATCTTCTTGAAAATTGAAAAATGTAATATTATTATGATGAAAATTTATTGATAAATTTCAGTGCTACAATATTGTTTCGACTCGAACGAATGAGTCGTCTTCAGGCACGACTGTAAAATTAAATTATAAAATAATAAAATCTTAATTAAAGAAAAATTATAATAAAAATATTTACCGCCGTAAATTTAGGAGGAAAACTTGCGTAAGATGTACGTACATTGGATTGGTAACAAAAATCTTCAGTAAAATAGCACAATGTTGCAGAGAGAAAGAAAGAAAAAATTCAAAATATTCTAACAAAATTGAAAATATAACAAGTTAAATTTTAAAGGGTTAAATATTAAAAAATGAAGTTAAGTGAAAAGATAATGAAAATTTGAACTTTATAATAAAAATTTGGAAAGTTTACGAAAAAGATATAAAAAAAACAAAATGTAAAAAAATAAAAACTAATTCGGAACGATAATTAATAAGTTCAACTTTAAATGAAAAAGAATAAATAATTGAACTAAAAATCTACTCAAAAATGTAACATGCGCATGTTTTAAATGATTAAAATAAAATTAAAGAATTCTGAGAATTAAAAATAAAAATAAATGTTTAAATTTCTTTCCACAACATGATGTTACAAAACAAAAAGAAAAATTCTGAAAACTAGATGAGAATAAAAATTAAAAACGTAAAAATTGAAATTAAGAGTAATTACCTAAATTCTTCACCGAGTCATGTTATGGAGAGAAAGATAAATAAAACATTTAGAAATAAAAATTCACTACGAATGCGAGCTTGACAAAATAAAATTTACTGTGTGACAGGCCAAACACGTTATATGGAGATTTAAAAAATCAAATAAATTTCAGATAGAATCTATGGTTATCGAAATCAGTGACATCATTTAAGATTAAATCAGGAAATGTTTTTTATATAGGTTGATGTACATTTCTTCATAAAAACCCATAATCTTTGATTTTTTCAAATTTTTGGTAATATTGATATTGTTAGGGTGTGGTGAATGGTTTTTTGAAATTAAATGTTTGTAAAAAGCTGAATTTTCTTTTTTTATGTGTTCTTTGTATCTTATGTTGATGTTGCGTCCTATTTGTCCGATGTAAAAACATTCGCATTCATTATACTTGATTTTATAAATACCACTTTTCTCCTTTTCCTTAAATCTGTGTTTATTGTTAATTAAAATTTGACTTATTTTATTAGAATTTGAAAATGCGGGTGTAATATTGAATTTATTAAGGTTGTTTTTGAAAACATATTGTAAATTAGGGTGAAAAGGGACCTTTATGTAAAAAGTATTCAACCTAGTGGCTGGAAAAATCAATTTGATTATATTATTTCTATGAAGTTTGTCGTAAAAACTTTGTATTTCGTCGATGTTAAAACCGTTCCTCAAACCAATCTCAGCGATCCTACGTATTTCTTTTGTAAAGTTAGTTTTATCAAGGGTGTTCGTACAGCACGTCTGAAGAAAAAGTTGAACAACTATATGAATGTTTAGGAATGATACAGTCAATACTGGTAGGTTTACGGTTTGGTTTATCTTCTTGATGTTACGATTTCCATGTCAGTAAGTATATAAATGTTGAGCATTTCTAGTATTACTTTCTGTTGTCACCTAACACAAAATTTAAAGTATGTATTGTTTTTTTTTTATAAGTTAGGTATTTTAACTTTTGATCTGGAGAGAATAATAAAGAAAGGTAAACTTCAATGAAAAATTGCTCTTAGAAACCGTTCTCAAATGTAAATACATAACTACGAAATGCTAATATTGACGTTGTATCATTCAGCATCCACAAAATATTAATTATATATATATATTATGTAACGATTTCTAAGTAAAATTAATAATGCATGGATTTTCGAGAACCCCGAACGTTTCTCCGATCAAATTAAACAAGCCGAGCATACTCAGAACAACAAGATGATATATTCACTTAAGTAAATCATACTAAACGAACAAAACGAACCTAATTGTTCGTATTTCTTTCATTATTTTTTATATTATTGCGACGCCACAACTGACATGAAAATGGCATCGTACTACATAAACCATCACTAAGTAGTACGAAGAACGCTACTACCAATGTTATCGATATAATCATCAAATAATTAACAACATTTATAACATATAGTGTTAATACAAAAAAGAAACTAGTTTTTGATAATGTTTTAGGAAATATTTTTAAAACCGATTTGATATAATAATTCATTTTCCAATACAACAATCTTAAATATTATATTCCCATACATTTTCGAAATACCCTAATAATTATTATATTTTCGATATATTAATAATGTTTAATTTACAATAATCAATTTTTAGATAGTTTTCTTTAACACATTCGCTTACACTTTTCTATAAGCTTACGTAATTTTAATTATTAAGTGTTTGAACATCAAATTTAAAATTTAATTGTAAATTTTATAATTACTGCTTTGTCACATACTCATATTTGACTTATTCCGAAATAAAACAGAAAATTACGTATAGTATTCTTTCTAACAAAAATATTGTGTTAAGAAAAATTCAAACTTTATAAATAATAAAATCTTAATCGCGTTATTTCTTATATTTTATAAAAGGCAAGAAAAGTAAAAATTCAAAGAAAAACTTACATATTGGGTTTGCCGAAGAATAATCCCATCCTCCTTCAGTTAAAACAAGAAGTAATTATAAGGTCCTGTATGAAATGAACACGAAACTGAATTGATTTAAAACGAGAAGAAGTCTTAAAAAAAGTAATAAAGTAATAAAAAGAGCCGCCCGCCAAAGAGCCGGGTCGCGCTCCTCCGCAACGACAAACGCACCGCAGTCTATACTCCCGCAAAAGCGAAAGAAGCACCGAACACAACCGGACCGAACACGACCGGCGTTTTCTCGTCCTCTCTTCGCGGTGCACGTACGAAGATTAAGCGTGGTCCGACGACGTACACTGTGTTTATATGAGGAGGCGCGCTTATTCACAGCAGCCCCAGCAAGCCCCAGCCTCTTTTGCCTGCTGCTGGTCAGCGATGATGTTGTTTCGTTTCGGTCGTGCGAGTCTCTTCTTCGCGTGATACGAGGGCGAACACGCGGGGCTGAACATTTCGGGGGCCCACCAATTTCGATTTACCGTTAACGGTAAAAGTGACCGGGGAACGCGGTGGCGTCTCTTTGGTTGGAATTGGAATTGAAGACGGTTGGAATCGCACGTGGTCAAAAGAAGTTTAAAGAGTTCAAAAAAAATGAAATAATTTATGTTAAAAAATTTAAAATATTAATTAATTCTATTCTATAAAACGCATTTTTTAATGGAACATTGTTAACTTATGTAAAGATTTTAAGCTAACAAGTGGGTGAGCTGAATGACATTTTCTTCGATGAAATTGGTGATAGTTATTATGTTTTCCATATAGTTGTACATCGTACATATGCAGAAATGTAGAGTTTTGTACTGTACTGTTAATATTAAACAGCTGTAACCAACGCACCCACTTTTTGTCTTTGAAACCATGTGCAATCTCAAGTATAGTATTTATTTTGAACAATTAAAAATAAAGTTATTACAAGAAGAAAAAAAAATACAAAGAAATAAATTTAGTCTTTAAATATCAAGATCAATTAACTATCAAAAGAAAAGCTTATGCATTATCTCCCCCAGTAGAATGGAGTCAAAAAAAAACATTGTTAAAATCCAACTCAACATCTACTTTCAGTAGATATTTTCTGCTACAAAATTTTGACGATAGTGTGGAAGAAACGTCATCATAGACTCCACCAAAAGGATTAATAACAAAAATACTACCGATATACGGGGTGTTTCATAATATATGCGCCGGACTTCAGGATGTGATAGCTTGTCCAAAAATTTGAAAAAAGTTTGTATCCACTTACCCTCTAAAATGCATCATTTTCGAGATACAGGGTATTGCAATTCAATAAAAAAACTTCGTTTTTTGCGAATATATACACAAAAAAGTTACTGAAGGTCATGAGCTCTAAAGTTGACCGTTTTCGAGAAAGTCAACTTTTATGTATTTAACAATTAAGTTCGGCAGATCGGAGTGCTTAAGACTGCGGACCTCCTCGACCGATCCAACGGTCTGAGTATTCGTCGTCCAAGTATTGGCGAGCAACCAATCTAAAGTGGATCGGAGCTCCATCATGCTTAAAGTACATGTTTTGTCTTACTTGAAGCAGTACTTCTTCTAGAAATTGTCGATAATCTGCACCGTTTAATTTGTTCGGTAAAAAATGTGGGCCTATCAAATAATCACCGACGATGGTAGCCCAAACATTTACGGAAAATTGTTGCTGATGATGGCCTTCTGAAATTTCATGTGAACTTTCTTCTGCCCATATGTGGTTATTGTGAAAATTGAAAATACCATCCTTGTAGAAGGATGCTTCATCGATATACAAAACTTCGGCTCTAAACTCAGGATTTTACACTATTTTGACTTGCATCCATGTACAAAAGCTTGGCTTGTACTCTTTGGATATGGTAGGGATACAAAAGTTGCCTTTTCAAAATTCTCCAAACCGTCGAGTGAGATAGGTTTAAGTTGTGAGCAATTTTTCTGGTACTTGTGATCGGATTTTCATCAATTTTGTTAAGGACAGCCTCTTCTACTTGGGGATTTGCAACTTCCATAGGCCCATTATCAGCAGTATTCCTTTTAAAACTTCCATTTCCCCATAGTCGTTGGTGAAACGTAGAAACAAGTTATGGTGTGGTACTGGGCGATCAGGATGCCTTTCTTGACACAACTGCCTTGCTTCTGCCCATTTACCACACGCCATTCCGTAAAGGTAATGCATTTCGCACATTTCAGCGTTTGTGTAATTAATTTTTAATTTTGTAATACAAGTTTACTTTTTGCAGGTACAAACTAATTGTTATTTTGACAGGAGATAGCTTTTGTTATAAAATTTAAATTTGCGTAGGTCCATGTTTCGGAAGTGGAATATAAGAATTGATATATAATCCCATGGTTCATATATCAAAGTACCCTTAAAATTCACTAAAGAATCACCCCTTGAAGTTTGTTGCAGTCATTCAGATACACCCTGTATAATTAAGAAAAAACTTTTTGCTTCCGGTAATATTTATTTATTATATATTTTTGATATATACATATCAATCTCGCTTTAAGCATTTTAACGTGTTCTGTACTTGTGTTGTTTATTACGATAAGACAGCTGATGATGAACATAGTTCGAATCTAGTCCTGTCATTTAAATTAAATAATTATTACCGGAAGCAAAGAGTTTTTTCTTAATTATACAGGGTGTATCTGAATGACTGCAACAAACTTCAAGGGGTGATTCTTTAGTGAATTTTAATGGTACTTTGATATATGAACCATGGGTGACTTCGGCTCCCCTAAGGAGCTACACCCCTCCAAAAATGGCGGAAAATTTTGGTTTAACTTTTTTTTCTCAAAAACCATAAACGCTAGGAAAATGAAATTTGGGGAATATGTTTAGCTCATAATAGGGCATGTTTTGACCCTATTTGTACTTTCAACCTACCCCTCTAAACTACTAAACGTAACCTCCCCCTTTACATTTTTGCTAATATTTTTTTTTATGCAGATGATAAATACATTAAAAAAATTTTATCTAGGTAGATAAAAGTATCCTAAAACTTTTTTTAAAATAGTAGCAAAAATGTAAAGGGGGAGGTTACGTTTAGTAGTTTAGAGGGGTAGGTTGAAAGTACAAATAGGGTCAAAACATGCCCTATTATGAGTTAAACATATTCCCCAAATTTCATTTTATTAGCGTTTATGGTTTTTGAGAAAAAAAAATTGCGCCATTTTTGGAGGGGTGTAACTCCTTAGGGGAGCCGAAGTCACCCATGGTTCATATATCAAAGTACCCTTAAAATTCACTAAAGAATCACCCCTTGAAGTTTGTTGCAGTCATTCAGATACACCCTGTATATCAATTCTTATAAAATTTAAAGCCTACTTGTTAAAAATAAATTATATAATTTTTTACACAGTTTGTTTAATTGTAAAATAAAATTTTTATTTCAAACAATTGACCATGTTTTTCAACATAAAAGTTGATTTTTTTAGAAAACGGTCAACTTTAGAGCTCATGACCTATAGTGCCTTTTTTGTGTAGAAAACATTGACGGTTCAAATCGGCGTCTCAAAACCGTACTTTTTCCAGTGGCGTAGAAGTTGGAAAGAAAAACAATCACTACCCCTTCAAAATCTTCACCAATTATCACATTAAGAAAATGTTTTCCCGCACAAAACTTAGCTTATTATGCCAACAAAGTCTAGAATCTGAAATATCTATATCTGGGCCTCAGAGCAAAAAAAAGGGAAAGTTTCTTTTCAAACATAAATAAAGATTTTAAAAGTCTATCTTGGTATTTATATAAAAAGTCGATTTTCATCAATAATTAGTGGACACCACTGTCCTATCCCGATACAGCCCCTGAAATTTTACAGTAGCAGATTCTCTCTTATGTCGAGTGGGCAGATAATAATGTGCAATAATTAATATTGCAGGACAAATCACAAACATGAAAGAAGGTTCAATAACAGACAGTGCCTAAGAATCGTCGTGCTTGATTTTTACATTACACGATCATCGATTATTCTTAACATGTGCTTATCTCTCATTTATTAACATGTATTGAATATTTTATTACATTTATTTGTTTTGTAGGCCTCCAGTGCCATAAAAGTAAGGTTCAAGCAGAAGACTGGAATGACAGATCGTATCAAGGTCCAACAGATCGATCTGAATCATATTTTGTTTCATGTCATTACCGATTTGCCCGAATATTAAATTTTACCGATAAGTTAAACTGTTACCGATCATAAAGTATTTTATTTGTTGGTTTTATTGTTCCATCTACCCCAGCGTTTCTCAACCTGTGGGGCGAGCCCCCCTAGGGGGGCGGCATAATTCTACATGGGGGGGGGCCAACACATCAAAATGAAAAAAAAGATAATTACTAATAAAAAATTAAGTAAGTACAGTACACGTTTAAACTAATACACTCGTACTATTACCTAGGTATTTAATTACTATAAATATAATTGTATCAGTAGGTACTGTCAAATGCCAAATGAAACTAATAATGACTCATCAGTACTAAATTAAAAATAGCTATAATGATTATAATTATTAGTGACTCCCTTGGGGCTGTCTCGCACAGCAAAGTTTGTCAAAAGAAGGTTTATATTACAAATAGCCACTCTCAGTTCTTTGGTCTATATTCAGTCGAGACCTATATTTTGTCTTTAAAGCAGCCACCGCAGAAAATCCGGCTTCACAAAGGTAGGATGTTGAAAATGGTAATAATATACGAAATGCTCTTGTTTTCAGTGGAGAAAATTCATCATCCAATCCAGTCCAAAATTCAAGAGAGATTTATTACTAAATTCTCTCTATTACTAAATTTCGCCGCTTGCAGTAAAGTGTATGAAGATTTCTTCTTCTGCAGTTGAGAGACCTTCGTGAGTAGTTCGAAATGGATCCCTAACCCATTCGTAACTTGCTACCAATTTGTCGTCAGCAAGAAAATACTTTTCAAAATTCTGTGCCAACATGGCTAAATGACTTTCTATTGTTACAAGAACAACTTTCACATACTGTTCTTCTTCCTTGTATGTTTTGACATACTCATTCACATTTGCAAACATTTCTAGTTTTTTTTTGTTTCACATTTCTGCTCCACAGCTCTGCGTGTTTGCTCCTTGGAGTTGTAGATTCAGGGTATTTAATTTCTCGAATATATAACCAATTTCATCACAAATAAAGCATCTCGAAACAACAATGTTGAGACCAAAACTCATTTCTTTGGAAACCAGAGCCTTTCTATAGATGGTCGGTGTCCAGGCACATTGCGGAGATTTTTGTTTCACAAGTGCTTGTACGCTTTGGAATCTTCCAGATATTGTACAAGCACCATCGG